GAGCTAACCCTGAGAGCTAACCCTGTGAGCTAACCCTGTGAGCTAACTCTGAGAGCTAACTCTGTGAGCTAACCCTGTGAGCAAACTCTGACAGTTAACCCTGAGAGCTAACCCTGTGAGCTAACCCTGAGAGCTAACCCTGTGAGCTAACCCTGTGAGCTAACTCTGAGAGCTAACCCTGTGAGCTAACTCTGAGAGCTAACTCTGTGAACTAACTCTGAGAGTTAACCCTGAGAGTTAGCCCTGTGAGCTAACTCTGAGAGTTAACCCTGAGAGTTAGCCCTGTGAGCTAACTCTGAGAGTTAACCCTGTGAGCTAACTCTGAGAGTTAACCCTGAGAGCTAACCCTGTGAGCTAACTCTGTGTGCTAGCCCTGTAGCTAACTCTGTAGCTAACCCTGTGTTTTGGTGCCCCCTGTGCAGACATGGTGGTGTCTGGCGTCCCCCAGGAGAACGGGATCCTGCACGCCTCAGAGATCGCCAGCATGGCTCTGGATCTGGTCGGCGTCTGTCGCACCTTCAGGATTCCCCACAAACCCGGCATGCAGCTGCAGATTCGGGCGGGGATTCACTCCGGTACGCATGCAGACGGCTGGGAAGCTGAAACTGGTCATGATTTATTCTCTGAACGTGTCCCTCTGTTCAGGTCCGGTGGTGGCCGGAGTCGTGGGGACCAAGATGCCTCGGTACTGTCTGTTCGGAGACACGGTCAACACGTCGTCCAGGATGGAGTCCACCAGCCTGGGTAACAACGACCAAACTGCACGAGCTGATCAGGTTTTATAGGCTGCATTCACACCAGTCCAGTTTGGTTTGCTTTAATCAAACTCCAGTCCGTTTGTCCAGAATGTCCAGTTTGTTTGGGGAGGCGTGAATGTTAAACAAACCAAAAACATGAAATCTGGTCCGCTACAAACCTCAGTCTGGGTTCGGTTGAAGTGAACTCTGGTGTGATATGAATGCATATGTGAACACTAAGCAGACCAGAAACCACTCCAAAAGCAGGAAGTGGACTACAGAGCAGGGCATTCTGGGTAAATACAACCAAAACAAACGTGTTAGCCTAGCAGGAGAAATGGCTCATGATCGTTAGCCAAAGACTTAAAGAGAAATCCTCCAACTGCTAAAATCTGATGCCTCCATTTTTGTTTCCTTTTGGTGAAGCAGGAAGTTGCTCTCATTGTCTTCAGAGGTTTTTGTATCGTTTTCTTCAGTGGTTCTTGGTGCAGCGCCCCCACAGGCCAGGAGGGGAACAGGTTGCTCACAGGGTTTGGTTGGTTTGTCGCAGTGCAGAGAAAGAGAACCACAGCAGTCTGAAAACACTCTTCACTCAGGCAGGTGTATCCTGAATTAGGTGGTATGGCCCTTTAAGAAGCTGCCTCTGTGTCCGTCCAGCCCTGAAGATCCAGTGCAGCTCCAGCGCCTTCTACCTGCTGGAGGAGATCGGCGGCTACGTGTTGGAGTGCAGAGGAACGCTCCAGGTCAAGGTGAGCCCTGACCAGACTCCACTCAGGCTGCTACTGGGAGCACTGGAGGCCGCCCAGTAACAGCCTGGTCCCTGCAGGGGAAAGGAGACATGGTGACGTACTGGCTGGAGGGGAAGAAGACGACTGGGCCGGACAGCAGGGCGGCCAAACCGAACACAGAACCAGAGAAGGATCCGTTCCCGGTGCCGGGGTTCGTCAGCGACGATCTGCTCCTGGACCCGGCCTGATCCAGAACTTCACCGCAGATGATCCGAGTTTTAAAATCTACAGCTTCTGTTCGCAGGCCGTGGTAGATGAGTGGAAAAGTCTAGAGTTAAAGTTCATTTATTGAGTTAATTTGTCTGTTTATTAGGACAGAGTGTGATGGCCAGGATAAAAAATAAATAAAATGATCAGAATAAAGTGCAGCAGGAATCTGCCTGCTACTGATAATCTGATGTTTAAAAAGGAGCATAAATATCTGAGGTCTCCTGCCTGAATATCCACCTGTTTGATAAACTAAACTATAACTTCATTAGAGGCTCAATGTTCCTCATTTAACGCAGCTGTGAGGCTGATTTTCCACGTCAAAGTTTTCATAACAACATAAATTTATTCTTGTCCAATTCTGGCTTTTTTCTCATAAAATTTTATTCTCTGAATATTTTTGACTTTATTCTTGTAATCATGTCACTTTATTCTTGTAAGTTATTATTTCTTAGCCTGGTCCTGATGCGCTCATGTAGTTTATTAAGAATCATCACTTTCCTCCTTTAGAAACTTATTTATTTATTTATTTTGATATTTTGTTCTTAGTTACATTAGTTTTCCTCGTATTATATGTGCATTTATTTTATAATACACGTATATTATTTGAATAAATACATTTATTGTTTTGTCATTAATTTATATTGTATGTAAAATCACTAAAAGAAAAATAATGACAGTTTTTCAGTATTTCATATAGTTTATTCACAGACTGTTTTAAAGCTTTTATTTCTATTAGTTATAGTTTCTTGTTTGTAGTTAATAAAAATATTATATCTAAGGTTAAAATATTAACTCAGACCAATAAGAATAACATAATAAATGCATAAATGTGGTTTTAATTGTTACAGATAAAATAAAGTTATTCGGTAAAGAAATGAAGTTTTCTGTGTTTTTATCTCAAACCAAACGTCTCGTCGTTTTTCTGCTCAGTTTCTCTGGACGAAAATGAATTCATCCTGAAATAAATGAATTAAATTAAACTGAAATAAATCAGAATATGAAGCAGAGAGTCTGCAGAAAGGAGGCGGCCATGTTGGATCCTCCTGCTCAGAAAATCTGTTGGTGAATTTAAACAACTGGAGATGATCTGCAGGCGGCAGATGAAGGACAGAACCAGAACCAATGAACAGAACCAGAACCAACAGACAGAACCAGAACCAATGAACAGAACCAGAACCTTCATCTGGTTCTCAGAACCTCAGACGTCAAACTGAACCGATACTAAAACATTAAATCAGTTAATAAATTAAACTGATTTCTGGCTGCTTGTCTCTTAAAGCCATAAAACTGAATCCCCTTTGGTCCCACATCATCATACGTCCACCGCCGTGCTTCATGCAGTTCCTCATTATCTCACCTGTAGAGATTAATGATGGAGGAGGAGAAAACAGAATAAATTCTTCATTATTATTTACTAATCTAGTTACAGATAATAGAAAAAACATAAAACTAAGAGCAGCAGCTTCAGGTCGTTAAGGCTTCTGAGGTCTGGCCTTTGACTAGGCCGTTGCAGCTGGTTGAATCTTGTTAGATTATTCTGCTGTTTGGTCTGAACTTCATCTGCTGGACGGATGGAGGAAGAATTTGGTAAAGAGATGAAACAGTTAATCAGATTAAATAATCATCAGTTAATTTACTCATCAATTAATCGTTAAGTAAACAGACACTAACGAAATGCTATTTGATGAAAAAATTCACTCAGAGCAGGAATTAAGTTATAATTGTTCAAAAATCTCAACATTTTGGATTTAAGATGAAAAACTTTTTTTCCATAAATCTCCCCAGAACTCGTAGTTTTAGCTTCACCTGATTCTAATTCTGTAAATAAAATCTGTGACATCCAGTTATTAATCAGTTAATCCATAAAATAATCCCCAGATTAATCCTGAACTCTGATGAAACTGATGAATTTTTCTCGTGTTGGTATTTTATCTGCAGATCCGTCGTTTACTACAGATGATCAAAGGTTCACTAAAGGAGTTGTGTTTTGCATTTTAGGTGATGAAATGTTTATTTTCTTATTTAAAATGTAATTTATTTATTTGAATCTTACATGTTAGCTGCAGCCCTGGTTCAGTTAATGAAATGAGTTTATCAGGATTAAAACGAGCTGCTTGGTGAATAACGAGGGATGATTCAGATGATCAGAACCGATGCGACCCGTTCCCACAAAGAGGCTGATTAATATGCAGAAAGGCCCCGGGGGCCCCAAACACAGCCTGGTTTTAATTACAGATAACACAACGTGTGTGTGTTTGAAGTGTTTCTGATTGAATGGGTGCTCAACCTCTCTCTCCAGCTCCGCCTGCTGCTCGCTCGCCCATTCAGACCAACATTTACACATCTGAGGAGCCGCATCAAAGAGGCCGTGTGTGTGTGTGTGTGTGTGTGTGTGTGTGTGTGTGTGTGTGTGTGTGTGTCGTCTGGAGATGTTTTGGTTTCTGCTCTGGTGAAACGTTTCTGCTTCTACATTTATAAATAAGTAAAACACCTGAAACACAGGAACCAATCAGCTCACAGGAGCAGGAATCAGAAAAAGGTTGAAATGTTGAAACTTTTCCAGGTTTTCTCTCTGTGTGGTCTTAGATTGGTGGTTCAGGTTCCTCTTTAGCCTGATTTATTTTTCATGTTGAGGACAGAATATTGTTTAATGATCTGAAACCTTGTAGGATTTTAACTTTCTGAATAAAATTATAAAGATGTTGAGCTGCAGACAGGAAGTTCCTCCAGAGCCTGATTGGTTCTGGGGTGAGAACGTTCTGGGAGAGCTCGTCTATTACCATGTAATTACCAGAAGAATCTCCGGCTGTTAACGGCGTCATGATTTTATCGGCTTCAGCAGGAAAACACACCTGGATTATCCTGGAACCCCCTGGAGAGGCTCAGAGGGCGAACAGATGATGGTTCCTGCAAAGATGCTGCAGAGAAATAGAAACGGGACATTTCCCAGTTTAAAAGCAATGTGACGGCGCCCCCTGCTGGAAAACGTCTGCAACAAAGTCTACTGTGTTTCCCGCCCTCCTCCCAAGTTTTATATTAATCCTTAATGTTTCCAGACACCATGTCTCCAGAATCAGAGAAGAAAAACATAAAGATCAGGCAGAAAATTACCTCAAAGCTTTCTACTGGATCTCACGATAACTAAATGTTCACTTCCTGTTTTTTGTCTTCTCCATAGAAGCAGGATAGATTCATAACGCAAGTACATGTAGGTTCAAAAAGCAAAAATGCAATAAAAAAACAAGCTCCTGTCAGAGCTGATCAGTGTCATTTCCATCATTTATTACAATTTAAATGTATTTTATATAGAAAAATATATGTAAACATAAATGAAATGTATGTAAAGAAACATGAGCAATATATGGCAGAATATATTTAAAATATGGAAACATGTCATCAGACCCTAACGCAAATAAATAAACAAGATTCATCACAAATTCAGACTTATAAAGGCAACATATGCAGTGACATACAGTTTTATGCATCAGATATTTTTCAGTTTCAGAATTTCTCCCTACTGCAAACTTTCAGTATAACTGCAGACTCTTACACAGGTGAGCAAACTTCAACTTCACCCAAAGTAAGAAGCTCAATTTAAGGCCATGCAGCAGTTTAGCTGGATTCAAACATACAATTTAGAATCTGTAGATTTTAAGCTCTGTTGTCTTAAACTTTACTATCCTAGACTGAGTGATCTCAGAAAAGCAACTAACAAGGAAACTAAGGCAAATGCAAATAAGAAGCTGCCAAGTAAATAAATGTAAATTATGCAAAATGCATGGTTTTGGTTGTAATTCCCTAGAAAACTTTTTTTTCAGTTTCCTCTGGGAAGAAATGGGATAGGGAAGAGATGGAGAAAATTTCGGCATGCTGTTTGCAACTGATCCCTGCAACAGTATAAGAACAAAAATCCAGTAATGAAAACAACTGCAATAAATAGAACAACACCAACAGTGTGAAGAGCATTTCCACCATTTTCAGCTTGTTTCTGCTTTTCACCAACATTTTTTCCTCCATCCTTCTTCCGTTTGTCCTCGTTCCCTGCAGAACAGAACCAGAAAAGTATCAGTCTGATCTTTCTACAGTCTCATCAACAGCATCTTTTAGCAAACTATCTTTACGTTAGATATAAATTATATTCCCAGATAATAATAATCATTTAAGGTGGCTTTGCAATTAGGTCTAGTTATTTGGTTTAATTAAACAGCTTTATGTTATAAATCTTATTTCTGTCTTTCACAGTAAATGAAGGAAGCTGCATGTTTCTCTTTAACAAGACGGAAAGTTCAGGAAAGTCGTGGCTTCTGAAAGAGACTCTGGGGATTTGAGTTTTCTGTGTTTATTCAGTCTGTGAAATTAACTCAAACCTGCTGATTAAGAATAATCAACAGGTTTGATTATTGTTCAGGTGATGAAGGTGTGGAGACAATCACACGTATCAGTAGCTGCATGAAGGTGAGCCGCTACCTGAGGAGCCCCGTGGTTCTGATGGAGAACATCATCAATGTTCAGAGATCAGAGATCATATTGATCTTCTGTTGGTGATGGTTTATTAGTATTTAGATTAATCCAGACTGATCAGCCTGGATCTCTGAGCAGAACTTAAAGACGGAGCCGAGCGGTACCGGTACCGGTCCATCCTTCAGTGGAGCCGCCTGCTTTGTGAATGAACCTTATGGACATAAAGCATCTTTATTCTGTAAATGTACAACTTATACTCATGATTCTACTATTTAAACGTCCACATTCCCACTCAAAGACTCTCTGTCCCTCTTTAAATCCCAGCTGGACGCTTTGCTGCTGTTTAGGCAGCCATTTTGCACGATCTCTTTATTTTTTTATTTGGATTTAATTTTTTTCTTTAAAATGTATTTTAATTTTGAGAGGTGACATTTTGTGTCCTGAAAGCACCTTTTAAATAAAATGTATAATAATTATTATTTTAAATACTCATACTGCTTCAAACAAGGACGTTGCCATGGTTACTGCTTCACGTGGTGGCAGACTTCTGGGTATTTATTTAACATTAACATGTATTTATGGAGGCGACAGGCGATCCAGCAGCTGCTCTATACATCCTTTATACATCCGGATTTTTTTCTAAATTTTTCCGTATGCCAACTTTTAGTGTGAAAACTGAGCTCTCTTTAACGCACGAGGCCCCAGATCCAGGACCGAAACACTGACCTGGTTCAACTCTCAGCTTAAAGATGCGGATGGGTTGGATGTCCAGATTGGATCTCTTCCTGCGATCATTCATCATCTGAACGACTCGACACTCATACGTTCCCGTATCGTTGGTCGTCACATTCTTCAGAATCAAGGACACGTCTCCATGACCCTGACTCTGCAGGGACACCTGGTCCTGAAAGCATGAACACTGACCCTCTGGATAAATGGTGTCCCTGCAGAGAAGAAGCGGCTCTGACTCCAGATCAGTTCTGCTCCACTCGGCTGCTATAAGAGCTTCGTTTTCAGCAGCTCTGCATGGCAGAGTGACGTTGTCTCCAGGTTTAGCTGTCATAGTGATCTGATCTGCAGGAGAGAGAATGACAGAACAGAGAGGTCAGAGGTCAAAGTTAAAGTATGAATATTTAAAATAATAAACTTCAATTTATAGTAAATAAAAAACAAAATTATTGTTTTTTGATTTAATTAACCAGATCTTCACATCTTATGACGCCAGGCTTAACCTGACCCTTAAACCAGCAGCATGTCAATGTGTCTTTATATATATTTGCTAAAGCTGTCACCAGTTATCAAATCTATTTTAAAAAATGATTTCCTTGGTCTTCTCCCAGTGCTCCCAAGTACGAAACACAAAACTCAGTCAGAAACAACCAATCAGAGCCAGGAGGAGTGTCTTAGCATTGTCAATTACCCTCATGTGCATGCTACCCACACCCTTCCCCTTGCTCTCTGCTTTGCTACAGCTTCTTCTGGATTGCAGTCAAATACTAACAGGAACCGGAGACACTAGAAGCATGGCGAGGAGAATTCACAGGGTAAAACCGGGAAGTTTACAGGGGGAAGTGGTGAGCATTGACTGAGAAACGTTCAAATACTGGGGAGGAGGAACGCTGAACACAAGACCTGGACTGATGAGCTAACTGAGCGCAGGTGTGAGGAAAGGGAGAGAACACAGAGGAACAGGAAATAAATCAAAAACTGAGGAATAACTAAACCTAATAAAAGTTGAATAACTAAAAAATGACTAAACACAAGAAATAAACACAAACTGGAATCACTTAGAAAGGACATGGATAACAGAAAGACATGAACAAGACTGATCTAAAGAAAAAAACACACAATAATAATAATAATAATAATAATAATAATAAAATCAAACTACAAAACAACTCAACCGTTTCTCTGCCTTTATAGAGCAACAATGTTTTTGTCAAATCCTACTTGCTTAACAGGACATCCATGGATCGACAACGTTTTAGAAAAATAGCAGAACTTATTTTAAATGTGCTTCATACATCTTCTGAAAAAATGCACACAATTACCTATTGTGGCCTTCTTGAAAAAGCTGCCTATGGCAATATTTCACAGTAATCAACTAGCCTTTCTTATTTTAATATTTGTTATCGGTTCTTATCGGTATTCTGCCTTTAGAATGAGAAAACAATCGAGTATCATTTTCATAAAGTTCCCTGGTTTCCAGCTAAAATCATATCAGTTTTAACTTCCTGATGTTTCTAGCAGCAGCAGCTGATTGGACCTTTAAACTCCTGCAGTTTCAGCTGGTTTAGACCGGATCCTCTGAGTAAGAAATGGAGGATCTGCTGGACTTTTTATACCAAATACATGTTGGCATAAAAGGAAATGTGATCATTTGACTTCAATAAACTGACTGCAATTATCAGATCATAAAGCAAAATTGAATCACATTATTTGGGAGATCTGGAAATGTTTAGGTTACCTCCAGATTTAATTAAAAACATATTCTCTATAGGATAAGTACAACATGGTTTGATTTCAGCCACAGAATACAAAGAGGAAGAGTTGAGAGTGATGCGTATAAATCAACAAAAGGTTGGGTTGATCCCAGAGCTCTTATACTCAACACAAATATTGTTGAATCCCATCATCTCTCATGAAAACATGTTATTCCATCTTAATATCTAAGATAAAACTTACCTGCAGAAACAAGCATGAAGAAGATGACAGAAAGCACAACAGGCAAGTGTGACGGAGTTAAAACAACCATTTCCTCATATGGCACCTCAACCAGTTTAACTCTGGTTCAAATTAATCCTCTGAAGAACAACAGTGAACAGAGTTTAAATTTAAGAAGAATTTCTGTTCGTGCTCTGGTAGGATAAAAAAGAAACTCCAATTTAGGCTAACTAAGTCTCAGTTTGAATAAAGGACTCGCCTCGACGGCTTCATGGAAAAAGGTGGAGCTGAGAGGTGGAGCGTTCAGTGACAACAATACGTTAACCTTACAGTAAACATGTAAACAAATGTCACTGTTTCCTGCTAAACACAGAGAACAACATCTGCATCAAGCAACAAACTGGAATGTGATCCAACTTGAAGCTCCTTTAAATCCACCAGAGATCTTCAGACTTTGATTAGGACATAAAGACGGACAACGCCCAGACCTCTGAGGAGCTACAAAAGTGAAACTGTGCTGTAACAGAGTCAAAGTAAAACAAATTTTCTTCATCTAATCTGTTGAAACTCAGCATGTTGAATCTGCAGTTTTTGTTCCTGAAAGCAGAAAAACATCAAACTGGAATCTGTTCATACTGATGGAACCAGTTTGGACCACAAACTGGAGCCTGAAGCAAACAGGAAGTTTGTGAGAATAAACATGTTAACTACAGTTAACAGAAACAACTCAAGATTTACAAACTGAGTTATTGTTATAATAAACATAAGCCAACATTACTCACACCCCTGGCAAATTTAAATTTCAAATTAAATTAATCCTGTTTGCTCCCGATTGAAAACAGGACAGGTTTAATCAGTAGTTGGTGTAAATGTAAAAATTATTGACATGAACACTTTGATCAAAACTAAGACAAAATAAATGTAATTTGCCATCAGAATATGTCATTGACAGCTGACAGTGACCGAGCTCAGCTGTGACGTCTGTCAGCTGATCACAGTGTGACAGATCTCTGTGAGGCTTTCATGCTTAGAAAAGCATAAAAGCTTAGAAAAACCTTTGTGCAGTGAGGGAACATCTGTACAGACATCAACAATCTCTTGGAGCAGCTGACTCAGTTTTGCATTACTGGTATGTAAAACCAGTTTGACTGGTGATTGTTTTGGGTCATTTTTAAAGAGAATGCTGTGAAATTTTTACTTTCAAGCTCCAGAACAATGATCCAAAGCACATCAACAAGGTTCCATCTGAATAAATCAGAATGGTCAAAGTTTGGGCTTAAATGTGACTGGGATGAACCAAAGAATAGAGAATAAATCTCCTGTGTATGGATCCAAGCTCAGTAGAGATGATCTCTGACTGGTCAGACTCCTGGTCCTGATTCAGACTCAGTAAGTTCTGCAAGTCAAGAAGAAGAATTAGATTAAACATGTGACGTCATAGTCAGAGCCAACGTCATTATAAAGTGTTTCTGTTGACAACCTGGTTGTTTTTGTTTCGTTTTCCTTTTGTTGCCTGCTGCTTCCTTCCTGATCCACCAGATGGCGCCTGGAGGCTGCACCCCTGGAGAGCGCAGCTGTCGACCCCGTAGACACACCTGTCTAATTCTGACAGCTCCTCGGTGGCGCAGCTGATGGCCGACACGTCAACGCCTGAGTGTTTGCCTGTTTTGGAAACCAGTGTCCACGTTCACTCTGTCTGCGATGAAGCAATGAACCTTTCCAGCCCTTTGCTTTGCAAAAAGGTTCGTTACTCGCTGCTTCATTCATCACTCACTAGTGACATCTGCTGGTGAAACTGTAACAGCCTTGTCACTCAGTTACTAAATGCAATACTGTCACAAAGTTTTAATCAAACTCATATTTAGTAACAGGAGAATCAATTAAATCATATTTAATTGTCATGTTTTAATTATTAAAATGATTTGTAGCCAATCTAATCCTTGACTATCAGTGGTTGTGTTGGGTTTTCTTTTATATCATGGACTTATTTGACAATGAAGGTATGTTGTACTTTAATGTATTGGGAATTGAGTGATTGTTGAGGCAGACTGAATACTTTGAGTGAAAAACTTGCTTCCTGAAAAACAGAATTTGTTTAAAATAATCTCTTCTTGGGAGTTGTAGTTCTGGTTTTTAACAGTCCAAATAAAGTTTGCCTCTTCCAATGGTTTTTAGTCTGTTTTTGATGGGTGAATCTGATGTATCTCCTGATCAAACAAAAATAATAAAGAACTGTTCAGATTTTAGGGTTAATTGTTTTTATTTAGGAACAGGACTTTTTTCACTGTTTCAGGTTTTAGACGGTTTCTTCGTCGGCAGGTGACCTCCCCCGCCTTGGAAAAAACTCGTTCACAAGGCACTGATGATGCAGGTGAACAGAGGAACTTCAGTGCCTCAGTACAAATGGGGATGCACATGTTTCTGTGTATGCCAATACTCCAAAGGATCTTCATATCTCCTTAGGTTCATATCGCTCCACTTCAACAATGGCATCTGCTGTGGCATTAGAGCTACGCCTCTTCTGGTCCACTGCAGAATCTAACAGAGACCACAGTTCACCTGTAAATAACAAAAAAATCATTACAGATAACACACACCAACAACTGAAATACAGTAGTACAAATGTCACAAGAAAATAAAAAAGAAAACTCACAAGATTTGCTGGTGCCTTCTCCTGCATCTGCTGAATCCTGCAGCTGGTTACCTTCATTGTTTGCAATTAGTGCAGAACATTCTGCTTTCAGCCGCCGTACTGCATCTTGTGCCTTGCTTTGACTGACAAAACCAAGAGTTTTGAACCTAGGGTCCAGCAATGTGGCCATTGTCATGACACTTAATGATTCAATTTTTGCAATTTGTTCTTTGACACGCCTCAATAGGTTTTCAGACAGAAGTCTTGGAACAACATTTTTTTATATTTGCCATCTTTGTAAGCACTGCATGGTGTAGCATGTTCATTAAAGGTATAACCTTGGATATTGACACCCTTTTCTCTTCAGAGAGCTCTGAAGTTGCTTGGAAAAATGGGAACAACACCAGTAACGATTCCTCAATTACCTCAAAATCCTGAGAAGTCAGAGGGATTATATCAGTTTTGAGTGCTGTGAGGGCCGCAGCCACAGGTTCTTTTTGTTGAAACAGATGTTCCAACATGAGGTAAGTGCTGTTCCAGTGTGTGTCCACATTGATTATGAGCTTTTGCAACTGTCTTCCCATCTGTATTTCAATCCCTTCTAGCTTTTCTTTACCTGTGGTGCTTGAGTGGAAATATGCCACAATTCTTTTAGCCTTTGCGCGGATGTCACAGAGGGCAGGGATCTGGTCAAATGATTTTCGGACTAATAAATTCAGACCATGAGCAATGCAAATGGAGTGCCTGATCTTTAATACCTTAGCACATGCAATCATGTTAGCTGCGGCATCAGTCACCAGACAGTTCACCTTATCAGTAATTCCCCACTCCGCCATGTGATTATGCACCACCCTGGCCAGATTCTCAGATGTGTGAGTGGAAAGGAAATGCTCCACTCCAATTAATACAATGCCCAGTTATACAGTGGCATTACTGATATAAATTTGTTATAAAAGTATTAATGATTGCACTTTAAAAATNCAGGTGTTATGACATGTTTATGAAAGTGTTATGACAGTCTTATTCACCCCCCTTCAAATAAAGTGTTACCAAAGTTCCTTTAAGTTAAATTAAGTTAATGTAAGTTAGATAGATCTGTAAGTTTTAAGTTAATTGAACACAAAAAGTAAGTTGTCCTCACTCAACCAAATGAATTAAGTGAGATTAATATAAATAAGTCGATAAATAAACTACAGGCAGAAACATTTTTTGCAGTGTATGTATGCATGGTGCCTCTGGTCTCCTTCCTGACTTTCCTGTTTGGGAACAAATATTCCTTTAAATACATGAAAAGTAACAGAAATGAAAGAGGATATAATTAATGTAATTACCTTCCTAATATTGTAGCAGTTATTTAATTAAATCTGAAATAAAACTGTAGTAAAGTCTACCGATTTTAGTTAAATAAAATGAAACAAATTTGTTAATTTAACTGAACATAATTAGACTGTTTAAGTGGAAATAACTTTCTCGTTGCAGATGGATTATTTGAGTCAATGTTGGAAAAATTCAACAACACGACCAGTGAGTTCGCTTTTCATCGAGTCACTTCACATGAGTGAAAATATAAAGTTCCAGTTTCAGTAAATCACTAAAGATTTATTTTAGTTACTTTTTCACACACATTTTAATTTGACCTTATTGATCCTATTCATCTGACATTTGACTTTTTAACTGTATTACTGGTTTTATTTGAATATGACGCCTGTTGGTTAATTCTAAATAATTTAAAGTTTACTCTGTAGTAATGAGTGTAAAGGTATTACAGTGAATGATTGTTCTAAATGTCATTTATTTTTATTTGAGTTGCCTTTAAGAAAGGATTTCTACACTACAAATTGTTCATCACAGAGCTGTCCATGGATGCTAATGCTAGTTAGCATAGCCACAGATGACAGTGGATAAACAGGTTTCCAAGAACCGTAACTTGTTTCTCGGCCATTAGCATACTGAAAAACGTGTACACAAGCCTGATTGACAGCGCTACGACCCTCCTCCTGGCTCTGATTGGTTGTTTCTGAACAGGAGCGTTGCATTTCTGCAGACGGCTGCAGGAGGAGCTTGATTTCTTCACAGATTGTCAGTCTTATGTTAAACTGTCACAAAATGGTGACACTTAATAAATCTGTGAAAACAAACACATTGTTGCTAAAAGTTTCATACAGCAGCTCTAACAGGAAGTGGGTCTCTGAGTTATGTTCTGCTTCCTGTTGGAGCCATTGAACGAGGGGTGCCGCCAGAAATCTTGGGCCCCCTGACAAAAAATTAGATTGGGCCC